TTAGCTTCAGGGAAGCAAACAAAAACAAACACATCTTCCCGCAGGGACAATCAGCATCACCCGCTGCGCAAATCCAAGATGCTGTATCATGATATGCTATATCTATACCCCCTGATGCTCCGTGGTCAGCGCCCCCAGACTTCGGCAAGTTCCCCAAACCAATGATCGACCTCAGGTCCGACCTCTAGTAACTGCATTACTCCTAGTAACAAGGGCATCGTTACTAGTAGCAAGGATGCTACTAGTAGCGAGGGCATTACTACTAGTAACAAGAAGCTACTAGAAGCTATTTGCTAGGCCTCCACCCTAGTAGTAATGGCCTCCACCTAAGAGCGACGGCCTCCACCCTAGTATAGCTCTTTGCTACTAGCGATGCACTTGTTGCATAAAACCGCTGGAGCCCGGAGTCCTTGGCCCAGCGAGCCAGCTCCGCAAACTGCACCACGAGTCGATGCTCGGAGCCCTCACAACGCACCGCACGGCACTGGAACAGGTCGGACCGGCATTCGAAGCGCACAGGCGTTTGGGGTGTATAGTCTACTGTAAAGTATACCTGTTTTTTTGGGGGGGGAGGATTGGGCCAGGGTTGGGAAGGACCTGATTGTTGTGTTTTGACTAACTGTTGGAGGGAGGGAGAGAGGAGAGAGGGAGAGAGAGAGAGAGACAACGTTTTCACTCAGCCAACTGTCCAAAACGGTTGTAAAATGTTGCAGCCTTGAAACACCAACCATTCCGTATATAGGGAATCGGCATGGATGAAATCCAACATCTTGTGGCAACAGGCTGGAAAGAAACGCCATAGGTCCAAGTCAAACCGTGTCTTTTTCTACCTCGGGGGGTCTCACTCATCCACCAAGAGAGGAGAACGAAGGGACCTCGTTCGCTGCATGGTGGACTGGTCGTCATTCCCCAGGTGAAGTCGCTAGCTTCACTCTCCTCGCCTGTTCATGTCGTCGGCACTCCTCCCGGACCTGTGCCGGGCGCGGAAAAAAGGTGCTTTTGCACGGCTGAAGTTCCATCATGTTATTGCAACAAAAAAGCGGCATTCAAAGATTTACTGTCGGGTACCCTTAAATCTGATGTTGTGATGTCGCTCTACACTCAGCAGACTTGATCACATGTTTCTGGAGACGTTTCTTGAGATCCATCCGGTGAGGCGTCTGTGCTGATCCGATCCCCGCAAAACCAAATCGCAACGCTACAGTTGCTACGATGGGGTGGTCCATCTGCGAGATCTGAAGATGGTACGGATTGATGGGATGGATGAATGGTACCAGGCTATGCCCCTAGTCAACCGTTTGTCATCTAATTGTAATCAGCTGGTATTTGATGTATGTTTACTGTTTACATTGTATACCGGACCTGAAAACCAAACGTCACTACCATATTGCCTTCCCCATCCATCACAACAAGTATCAAATGGCTTCTAGGATGTTCTAGAAAATCAAACAAATCATAATTACACTGGAGGGACCCTCAGTTTCCCAATAAAGGTTCGCCCATTCACCTTCATCCACCTCTTAGTTTTGAATGGTGTGTGTCCCCAAATCCACTCTTTTCAGGGTTTTGTGCGAGGTGAAACCCACTTTCCCCGGGCAGGAATATCATACACCCAGAACCTGAATCACCTCTATGTCGGATCACCAGCCACCCCAAATATCCTTTTCAATCCCTGGGTTCTAGGCATGACCGATCTCCATCCCGATCTCCTTTCCCGGACATCTTTTCATGGTTCCCGAACGCGCGGAACTCGGTGAACCCGGCGCCTTCACCATGACTCTGAGCGCATTCGCCAACCCCACCGAAGGGTTCTTCTGGGCCAGGCGGAGTGGTGGGTGGTGATTCAGGTCTCAGAAAACTGGGCAAGCCTAGAAGACTCGATTTGGAAGTCAATATGTTTGAGAAGTTTAAGATCCCCAAGACCTCTTGTATTTTCTCTATCAGCTTCATAGTCATGCCATGTTCAAAGGATATTATTAGTGTCTTCCATTCCATTTTTTGGGGTGTGAACGAACTACTGGGTACGTAGTACATGCTCTTCACGTAAGAACCAGAAAGCTCAGGCACCCATTGGGTGAATGCCATAGATGGCCTGACCTACGCCCTTGGTTGGTTGATTAGCAAAGGGATACTCCCAAGTGTACGACCTGGTACATCCACTATATATAATAGTGTCAGTGTACATATCAAATCATTCTCCACGAACAAGTTGCAACAGGGTCATGAACCCGGCTACAGGTGCAACTGCATCCTTCTATGAGTCATGCTTTTGTATGTTTGTGTATCAAGCACCCATACTTGAAAGAAGAGCACACGAAACTGGCACATCATGAAGGAATGCGAACCTCACAGACTCACAGATTCCTCTGCCGACAGTTTAGCAAACCCTTTGAACAATCACCATACAACCCAACAGGTGATATGCACCGTCAGCCTGATAATTTACTTGGAGCCCTTGGAACTCTTTCGAACCGCTACTTCTTCATGTCTAGTAAGTCTAGTAGAGCTTCCGCTCCCCGCCAGGTCCAAGGTCCAACGGTCCAACGCTTTCCAACGCTTTCAGCCTTGAAACACGGTCTCGTTCCACGACGCGCCATCGTTTCGTTCCCGGTCACGTCGTCGACGCGTTTCGGTCGTTGAAAACCCCGCGGCCGTTTTCGTCGGCAAAGCCTTGGCACTTTGCAACATTCGGGAGGCGTTCGGGATGACCACACCGCACGCCTCAGTTCGAAAACAAGTTACGACGGTGGAAAGTGAGGAACTAACTCGGACGTGTGACGTGTGTGATGGGTCCGGATTGGACTCAGCCCACCGACCAACGGTAGATTAGTCTTCAGAACCCAAGTGATGAGTTGCCGGAGACGTGTTTAAACACTTGGTTAGGTCGTAGATGTTCGGTGGAACTTAGCTTTGCTTTTGCAACCACTACAAAGGGTATAGTGAAATCACTATTTGCCCTAGCTCAGTTATGGTTTATAATTTATATACTTACTAAGTCGTGGCAGACTTCTAGCAGATTCTAGCTAAGTCGCAGCAAACTTGGTTAACTTGGCTCGAATTTAGCTCCTTTGGAGGCCCACCTCTTGATCACAAAGTGAAAAGCACATGCTAATGGAGTTGAATGGAGTTGTCATTGATAGTCATTTGCTAATTGCACTATATTTTACATAATCAGATTTCCACCAGAAAAGAACCGATAATTGTTACAATATGTTGCAGGGTTTTTATAACATCAAATATCCACCGGGAAAGCCAAACACTTCCGGGAATAATTGTACATTTTTGTGGTAAAGTGTTCTTTCGATGTTATCGGGCTGAGCAGCAACGGCTCTCCTTACCAATCTGGCGGTTCGTTGAATCATGGAAACACCACCAGGGCGAGGGAAACACCATGGATTAAACAACCGTATGTACATTACATATGTATTTATCAAAGAAAGAAGGTGTAACAGCGTGCTGTTACAACAGTCTTTACACTTGCGCTCCCCCAAATTCCCCAAGAATTGTGATATTGGGTGGGGGCACTCTGCCCGGGGTTGAAGCATTTCTTCACTCATTTCTATTTCTTCCATCCAATCTGGATTAAATGCATCCCACGACCGGTTGGCACGAAGGCACGCCAGCACTGTTCAACCACTGTGTGAGACCTGGGAGGTCGGTCGGTTCCGACGTGGTCGGCTGTCTAGACTCGAAAAGAAGATGGTTCGGCAGGAAATGAACAGAAGACCTGAGAATCAATGAATGGGTGCATTCATTAGTTCAAAGATCTTCAAACTCTAGTGACTCTAGTGAACACAAGCCCACCCAGTCACAACTTCTTCTGGGAATATGGAAGTTCTGCAGCACCAACTGCCGCAATTCTTGCAATACTTGCAAGGGTTGGGAAGGTCTATAAGAGTTCTTTGGAGCAAGCCGGTGGAGCCCGAGCATGCCCGAGCTATGCAGAATGATCCTTGAAGTAGGAGTGTGAATTCGCGTGGGATACATTTTGGGGTCTCCCTTCCCTTCCTTCCCTTCCTCAAAAGCGTGGAACTTGATGGAACTTGGGCTTATGTCTCTACAGTGCTGATCCAATCAATCCACCGCGTCAGACGTCGAAGAGCGCGAACCGCGTTCCGTCAACATGAACGGTCTGCAGAGCGGCCGTGCCACCCACCACCGTACACGTCGGTGACACGACGGACCACTGTACCACGTTCGGAGAAAAAGAACGGGGACGTCAACCGGTGAACGTTGACTGCGACCGGTGTGAACTGAGTTCGCCCGACATCCTCGTTCGTCGATGTCCAGCTCATCAAAGGCTTCGCACAGGATTCGACCTCGAAGAAGACGGTGGGGTCGAATTGGAAGCTGGGAAGCATGATACCCGATGAAAGCAGGCACGGCCTTTTGCTTCATTCATCATTGACATAATAGGATGACATATATATATATATTATGAAGTCAACTGCGACTGATTGACGACTTCCATGTTGCGAATCTCAACTCCATCAAGCAGTCACTGGCCCAGCGCCCTCGGGGCGGGCCTTCTTCCTTGTCGAAGGCATCGAAAAGGCACAGCAACCTGCGACGAGTTCGAAGGCGGCTTCGCGCGTAACGTAAGTGACACGACGCTCGTGCGTTTCGAAGGCGTTGGCTTCGCGCAACGCAGCGCGTTTCTCGTAGCTTGAGGCACCTGGAGAGTGCCTGATGCTCAGGGGAGGCAAAGCGAACCATCGCCTTGGAGCCTGGACGAGGACGGGGGACAAGGAGTGGACGGTGTGGCTGGCGACGTCTACAGGATCAATTCCCAACTCTCTGGGGTTTATAAGAAAAGACTTTTATTCTACCTCCACTCTGTGCATTTTGTGCATGCAACATCTCATGTTGTACCTTCAGGCCTTTGAGAAAACCATCCTGAAGAACCAACCAGTTGTGGCATTCAAGCCATAAAAAAGCAACAAGTTAAGACTTGTGGAAGTCATCTACCTGATGACCTGGTTGGAAAATGTAGGAGCCACCCTGTTTCTTCTTCCGTGGTGAGACATAAGAGATCATAAGAGTCCAGAGATGTTCGCTGGTGCTTGCAGAGCATCTAGTTTAAAAGGCAGCCCGCTCTGAAAAGCTCACTTCTCCTGATTCTTAGGATTCTCAGGTGATCTTTCCCACATCTTGAAGCAACGCTCCTTGGCTTGCGACATCTTCAATCCGGGATTTTCAGCTCGGATGCCCTCCAGTTCTCTGGCCTCAAAATCGGCATAGGTCATTTTGGTCTTCTTCTCACCCACCTCCAAAGCACCAAGAGCCGCATCAATGCCGCTGGCATCCACGACTTCTTCCTGACGGTTGGTGTTGGCCTCCAGCTTCGGTTGAGACACCACCTCCGTCTTTTTGGTTTGCTTCTTTGGATTGGCCTTGGCCATGGCGCCCATCAAAGCCTGTCTTCGGGCAATCTCTGCTTGTGTGACCTTGCCGTAGCCACCAGCCTTTTTGTTCGCTCCCTTCAATTGAGAATTCGCTTCCTTGGGCTTGCTCCGGAAACAAGTAAAGAAAAGCTTCCATACATATAAAATTAATCCTATCCCTGGAAGGGAAATTCACCAGAAGGAAAAGAAACAACAACATCTCTAAGCACAAGAGTAGGCCTCTTCCTCTTGTTTTTCCAGCTCCTTCAACTCTGCTTTGGCGGCCAACTTCGCATCGGCCTTGGCGGCGGCGTCCGCCGCACGTTGCGTCTTCTTGGCCGCGCCCTTGTCAGTTTCCTGCCAAGAGGCATCTTCGGCGGCTTGCTTTGCGGCCTCATCCTTGGCCTTGGCCGCCGCCGCTTTCTTGTCCTTTGCACTCGCGTCCCCAAAGCCCATCTGCCAAAATCAGGTGAAAGGACCTAAAGCAAAAGTGTCCTCATCGGCCACATTGCCGACTTGAGCCCGCAGATCACCGGAGGGCGATAGTTGTTCTCTCTATCCTTTCATTGCCCAATATGGCCGCCGAAAGCAAAAGGGTCGACCGTTTGCTTTTTCTGCTTCACGAAAACTGTCGCTGGGTGTTCATGTCCTTTTTGTTTCACGGTGCCGCCCCTTCGGCCACAAGCACACAAATTTGACTGGTGGTTGCAGGCCCTCAAAAGAAGGTCCGAGTTCCGAAGAGGGTGGTTTGGGTTTGCAGGGGTCGGAGAAGACCGTCTCACCGTCGTCACTCATTGGGTCCAACAAGACGTGAAAAGGAAAGACAACTTGCACTGGCCATGCGGCCATACCCAGATGCTCCATGAGACTGCCATATTTGCATACATTGGGGTGGTTGAAACGGGGTCAATGTAGGCATATATTCCATACATGGAGCGTATGGGATAAAGTCTGTAATTGTCTTATGTAAATCTCCGTGACACGCTGCGGCAACCGCCGGCCTCTCAGCAGCATGAAGTCCGCGTAGCAGTCCTTACCTCCAGAGCAGGATGAGCCAAGTGGAGTGTGCAAAACAACAATACATCCGGATGAGGTAATGATCGCAATGTGAATACAAACCCCCGTTGAAAACACCACCATACTGCAAGACTTTGGCCGTGTCATGCCATGCTTCTGCATGCTTCTGCCATCTCACTTAGTCCCAGATCCCTTCCGTTCACTTCATTTTGATCCCTTCTGCCATCCCCTTTTAGCCTTTTGGATCCATCCCAATATCGGCCTCCTTCGTCACGTGACGACGCGTAGAACCGAACGACCCGGACGCGTGACCCGACGTCGGTCTCGTCTCCGGCGGCGGAGCGTGCGTTCGCTCCCGGGCCGTCGGAGGTCCACAGGAGCTGCAGGGCTTTCAGCCCCGGCGTGCAGCGCCGGAACTGCGTCTCGTTCCTCGGGTGGAGCGGTGGAGGTGGGGGTCAACGGATCGGGTTTGGAGTGACGTGGAAAACTGGGCTGGGTGTAAAGGGTGTTTAGAGGTGGGAAAGATGTGTGAAGAGAGAGTCATCTTTATAAGGATCAAGTGACGTTGAACTGAGGGTATACATTACATATCGATTTCATGAGGATGCATCAAAGATTTGGAGCACTGGCGGACATAGGGACTTGCTTGGGGGTCACACCTGTCAAAACAAGTTGAAATGGCACCAGTTCTTGATCAGTGAGATCCAAATCACCCTGAAATAAAAGAATCATAACACACCAAGTGCCTCTTTTTCTGGGCTCCAGCTGGATGTGTCCCTCGTCCGAACGGACCCAAACGACCCAGCCCCTGGCCAGACCGTTCGAGTCCCGAAATCGGATACCGTTCGGCTCCAACCGACTGCCAGTGCTGCTTGGACTCATAAACAGAGACCCCGTTTGGCTTTGTGGACCTGACCGAGAGTCGGAAGTCCGACCACATGGGAAGAGATCTCCATGGGACAATCGACCACGGAAGGAAACCAGATGTCATGGATAAAGACCCAAAGAAACTTGGGCTACTCACGGATACTTTAGAGGAATGACATGACAAGCTCGCCTCCGACCAAACACAGGCTTCCTGTGCAGTTTGGTTGCTTCAGGGCCAATGGTCCTTTCTGTGCAAGAAAGGAAGCTTTAAGACAACTCTGGCAAACCAGTGGAAACACATTTTTTCGATGATGATCCCCTTCCAAGTGTCTCTGCGGGTTTTCGGGTTTAGGGTCTAACAGTCTTTGTGTTCGGGGCTCTGCTTCGCATCGGTTACTTCGCCTGAGCTCCAGAGTCCAGAGCGCGCCACTGAGTGCAGTCCTTCGTAATTCAGGGTATTGATCTGACTAGACCACTAGTTCAATTCCTAATCCCTCTCTCTGGGAGGTCCAAGATCATGCACCCTAGAACATGAATCTTCAGAACTTCCAGTTGTTGCATGGGAATGATGGTCTTTAATTACTGTTACCCTGGAACCCCAATATTGCTTGCTCTGTTTCTGACCTCCCTTCCTCAAAAATGAGATTTTCGAACCCCTCTCACGTCTCACCGTGCCAAAGTCCTGTTCTTTTTCCCCGGTGCCTAGCTTGCCACACATCTGCGCAAAAATCCGGAAGAGGAAAAACGCATGTCCCTCTTGACCGTGCGAGCGCCTCGACGCGGCTGAACTCGATGCGGCCCGAGGTAAGCGGGTGACACACGGTGTGGGGGACTGCCCGATCGCACGCGGAAGGAAAACGCATCTGGTATAATCTGGTTGTATCTGTTATTTGAAGTGACAAGCCACTACTCACTTACAGTGTGCACCACAGTTTTCCATGTGGTTGATTGTCTTTGGCAAACACATTGAACACGCCCCAGAATTGGCTGGCCAATTGTGGGAGCTGGTGAAGGGGAGTCGCTGGGAGGCTGATCGGCGGGTCGCGCGAAGGTCTCTAGTACGTGGTTTCGGCTGAGCAAAGCTTTGGGATGTATCGCGGAAGAATCCGCCCTTCTCTATACGTTTTCTTCGGGGAGAAGGACGCCCTGCGTTTTGGTCGAGAAGGTCCGATGAATGCGAATGTCCAAGTGACTTTTGAGGGTTAAGACATGATCCAGCGATATGGCCCTGCATGGGTGAGAGATAATTGAAAGGGTCCCGGGGATGATGAGGGGCCACCAGGGCCATCTTCCTTCTTTGGATGGGATCCTTTTCCACCACAACCCGGTAGGTTCAGGTTCTGGGGACACTTGGCCGGTCTGCTGCATTTAGAAGCAACATTCCACATGAGCTCAGGTCATGAATCAACAGAATTGTCAACATCTTGTCATCTTGCTGCCAGATAAACAGTGAGGGGACGCAGCCCGGCTCTTTCCAGACTACTTCTCCGAGCGAGATATTTCACTATAGAAAATGCTTAAAGCCTCTCAGAGTCGCATGCAAGCGAGTCACAAGCGTTCCTTCACATCCACCAAATTGGCGACCGTGTTTTCGCCCAGCAGAAACTGGCTGAATTCGAAGTCCATACTCAAGCAGTCGATGATCAAAGCTTTGTGCCTCGAATCCACGGGCCGATTCAGCATTGCACTGCATCTAGTGTATATATAATATATATATATTTATATTTATATATATATATTATATATACACATATACCTGGGAGTCAACGACTATAAACAGAACAGTCTTTAGGTGACTCGAAAAAGGAACAGTCTTTACTTTAGTCAGTCAAAATATAGTCTTTGGACTTCTATATTGGCCCAGTGGCCCGTGGCCCCTGAATTGCACCATCTCTTTAATGTGGAAACGGTTTAATCTTGTAGTATATATTGCACTAAAGTTGATGTGTGCTCAGGGTTGAAGGGAAATTACGTCCTTCTTCCGGTGTGCACTTGAGATTTTCATGGGACCTAGACCATCGATGTAGTGGAGATCCTGTCTTTGTAAGGCCAAACCAACTCTATGTCAGAGACGCCTCTTCTCCAGACTCCAGGCTCTCAGCTCCCCCGCAGGCTTTGGGCCAATGCGAAGAAAGACATTCTCCCGTGTTCAAAAAGCATGGCGCAGGGATTTGGGCCATTGCGCAACCCGGCCAGGCGCATTGAGTTGTGCCATCTACTCTTCCTTCAGGGGGTTCCCCCAGGTCGACTGGACGCGATAGGCCGAGCATCTTCTCCTCCAGGCGATGGATGGAGGGCACCACCTCGGGGCGTTCCTTCAGGATCTGCGCCAAGGCCAAGTCATGCCTCAGAGACGTCGCAGATCGGACCGAGAACTCCAGCTACTCGTCGCACATTTGGTTAGTCAGTCTATTCAACTATAAGACCTCGCAGTTTGATCCCCTGGAAGAAGGAACATAGACCTAAGCCTGTATGCTTCGGGGTCTCCATATGGTTCAGGGTCTCCATACCAAAATGGTTGAAGTTGACGGGGTTTTGATTGGGGTGGCCTCCTTTCGCCGATCACTGTTTGTGTGCAAATTTTAATGCGGAGGGCAGGCCTGTCACATCTAACCTAGTCCAAGGAAGCTGAGATGTTGACGGGGAAGCATCCCGTGATGCCTTGATGTGTACCTATATATATACAACTAACTCAGTTTGAACGACTTGATTTTATACAAGGTCGGGAAACATGGGTCATTTTTGTTCGAGTCTTGAACTTAGAATTTTGGAGCGGTTTGGTTTAGGAACTTTTTCCCCGATGGTCTGCAATATCCAGTACTAGTACGTACTAATATCTTGAGTATGTGCTTGTGTGTCTTGTTGCTTGGGCTATGTAGTGCTTATGAAAACCAGCGGTCAGTGGTGTGGTCAAAGGTCAAACCGTCAAAACCGCAATGGCCTTCAGCTTATACAACGTGTCGCTGTCTCGTGCCTCGGGTTTTCAGTTGGATCCGCTACCCTTGGGTTCTTGTTTGGAGAGTCCTGTGAGTCCCGTTGATAAACACCAACACCACGAGCAAAAGAGTCGGCTGCCATGTTGCCGGTCTCAAGCACTGCAATGCCACAGTGGCGTCCGAAAGTCAAACAGGTCCCAAGACTATACTATGTCCAAAGCATTTGTGTCTGGAATAGTTGCTCACATTAGGATCATACATGGGGTAAATGCATATAGCTATTCCGGTCCCATGCAGTCTTTGGGCATTGAACCCATTGAGCCAAACCCATTCCCAGCATGTCCCAGTCTTCCAGGGATTCGCCAAAAGGCATCTCTTGAGTGTACTTCTTCACAGAAGCAAAGTCCTCCCGAAAGGCCTTGTACTTGCCTGAGCGAGAGCCAGAACACAGCCGGGGCTGAGTCTCAAGGGGCCCCACGATGGTTGAATGCAATTCACAAGCCCGCAGGAAACCACTGGTGCCAAAGGCGAAAACGTGGACCGGGCCGAACATGGGCGGCAGGAGGCTCCAAGCTCCACGACTCACCCCATCCATTCCCACCATGACCCAATATATACCAAACACTCCATGTATGGCATATTTGCATACATTGACCCTTGAAACTACCCCAATGGTAGGTATATTATATATATATAGTTCAGGACTGAAAGTTAGAATGACGTTTTGGAAAATACCAATGTTGATTTTCGATGATTCCGGCCATCCGCAGGTAGGGTTCCGCAATGTTGAATTTGTCCCACAGATAGAATGCCGTTGCACCTGTAAAACCAAAAAATAACAAACGAGAACGATCCTTACGACAGATCAAACAAATAGAATGCCCTTTATGATTTCTTGTATGTGTTGATATGAGTTCATCGCCAGCTTGCACATGGCTCAGAATTGTCAAAGCAATGCACATGGAACATGCAAACAGGATAAAACCCTTTCCATCCATCCATCCATCCAAACCCGCTTCCATCCATCCATCCATCCA